CCGCGCCCCCGTGCACCCCCCCCCTTAAAGGTGGGACGAACCCCCATGCCCGAGCGTCCTGCCACCTGGGACAACGCCCATCCCGCCTCCCCTCGTGCCCCCGCTACAGAGCGCCCCAAATCCTTTCCCCCGTCAGTTCTGCACCCCGATCGCAGGGTCACTCGCTGGGTGACTCGCCCCTAAAATACACAGCCCATCCCTGGCCTCAGCCCCAAGGGTTTAATCCTAAAACGCACGAGGGAAACTGAGGCAACACCCATCTTGGGGGGAGGGGGAGCAGAATCTTGCCTTGCTGGGGGTCTGCATGAACCGGAGCTCAGTCCCAAGGGAAGACCCCAGCTCAGGCGAGGTCCCTGCCCGCGTCACCCCGAGCAGCATCTCCCGGGCCGGGAGAGGACGGAGGAAAGTCCTTCAGCCGTAGGGAAGCCACGCGCGTCCTCGGGATGCGGGGCCCGAGCTCCGACGCAAGGCGGTAATTACAGAGCGCCTGCTCCCCACGGTGCCGGGGCTCGGGGGAAAACGAGGGCGGATGCCAGAAAGCGGCTCCTCAGCACGTTTCCAGGGATTTCCCAGCTCGCCGCTGTTTCAAACGCCGCTCCCGTCGCCCACCTCCAGAGAAGGATGCTCGCCGCCGGCCGAGCACGAACGTCACCAGCGCGGGTCGGTCCAGGGGAAGGCGAGCACGGGTCGGGCTTTTTTTTTTTTTTAGCAGGGCGATGCTTTCGGCAGACGGATGCGCGCACCGCGGCCGTGGGCGCAAGCACCAAGGGTGCTGGTCGGGGGTCGCAGCCTCCAGCCGCGTGAAATCCCACTCGGGCCACTCACCGTGATTAAATACAACTTAATGCAACACCTCCAATACAGGCAATTTGCGTCTTTATTGCTCTTTCCACGCCGATGGGGGTGTGGGAAGTTTTTGCACGGGGGGTCTTCTCTCCCGCGAGGAGTTTTTTCGGCGCTCGACGTGAGATTTTTGCAGCCCGTTCGCTGGTAACGGGATTAATACTCTGGCGGCGTGAATCCTGCCTTGGTGGTTTTAGTTATTTGGGACGGCGCACCAGAGGCTGCGATGATGCTCGGGGACAGGCTCTGCTCTCGCGCAGCAGCAGCCGGAGCCCGGTTTGTCCTTCGACACCTTACCCTGGCAGTCGAGCTTTACCCAGGGCACGCTGCAAGCGCCACAGGGGATTTCTGAGCTCACATTTCCAAGCCTTTAACACCTCAAAAAGCCACGTAATTTGAGGAAAGTCAAGTTTTTCAAGGCTCCCACGTACCTACCAGTCGCTGGAAGGTCCTGGCACCAGGCTAGGGGAAGGAGCAATCGCCTCCTGCCCTCCATCGCCCTTCGCGGGTAGCCCGACTCCCAGTCGACCCTCTCTCCTCCCGGGGACGTCCTGCCCCCCGACGCTCCGGGATGCAAAGCTCCCATCGGAACGGTCATTCCGCAGCCCCCCCGCCGCGTCGAGATGACTCCAACCCTAATTAGCTCCCAGACCTTCGCAAAAAGCCGAGGTTAAAAGTTACGCCAGTCCCACCCGGAGAACATCCTGCACGCGTTCCTGGGATTTTTCCCGGCAAAAACGCTGAGCGAGGAGGACACTAATTCTCCTGGGAAGGCAGGAGCTAAATAACTCCCTTGCAAATCCCATTACAGGCAGTAAGCTGCCTAGCGGGATGTACTATTTTAGCCGGGCTGGCGGTGGATGCAGGTTCGTTTTCAGGC